GGTTGTGTATTTAATTTGTATCCTTTGTGTCTGCAAGTGTTGCCAATAAATAGGTGAACTAGTGCAGGATTTCATTCTAACTTTTGCATTCTTAAATTCTTGAGAACATTCAATAATTGCAAGTTGCATGTTCTTGTATTCTTTATGTCCTAGAGACAAATTACCAAACAAACCCGGGATTACAACATGAAGGGGGCAAATATTATTTTAAGGATAGTGTCTAACACGACTAGAACATATCCAAATCTTGTGATTCTTCCATTATTGTTAGATTCAAGAATCTATCAATAAAAGTTCATCATTCTTCATCTTTATTCTTTGGTGTCTTTTTGTTATCTCTTTGGTTACTACCCCATATAATTTTAGTTACGCACTAATCAACAAACATTGTAATATTAATAATGATTTATTAATAGAGCAATGATAGAGACAGTGACAAATTATAGTGAAATGGAATAGTAACTTATTAAAAGACAAATACACCATAATCACTAAATATGTGTAATTATTAGTTAGGGGTAAAAATTTAATTTTTAGAGAACGATAAAATTTTAAAGAAAATGGCAAAAAACTAGGGACCAAAAATACTCCACATCACTCACTATCTTTTTTTCATTATGTTTTTCACTGTACATATCATTTTTCCTTATTAATATAGGTTTAGCTAAGATTGGTTCTTAATGTAATATTTTTCTTGTTGCACCTTCCATATTTTAAAGGTGTGTATGCCTGCAAAGTGCAAACAACATGTTCATAACATTTTCACCAAGAAAAGACAAAAAAGGTCCCAAACTTTATGATGGATATTTACTAATTTTGTGCTCTATCAGCCCAAATTTCATTACTCCCTCCCTCCGTGCCATAATTATTGTCCAATTTCACTAAAATGAAAGATTTTATTTTTGGTTAAACTTAATTATATTTTATCTTGAACAACCGGATATACCCCTACATAAGTAATTGTTTAACCACAAAGATTTGATAGATAATGTTTTTTACTAAGGACAAATGTGTAACTTGATCCATAAAAAGTCAAATTAGACAATAATTTTAGGACAAAATTTTTTGGACAAAGTGGACAATAATTATGGGACGGAGGGAGTTTTTTTTTTTTTTTTTTTTGATACAAAATTTCATTATTCTTCTTAATGAAATAACCTATTAAAGAGTACAGGGATATACATATCACCCGAGTGAATTCAAATAAGTGAAATATAACTGTTTATTTATATGAATACATGTAGTTTAACTTGAAATGCATGCATTACCCTCAGTGACGGTACCACGCACGTTAACAAAGACATTTGAAGAAAAATACAGATAAAAACCACAAGGATATAAAAATTATATATTTCAAAGGAATTTTCCGCTTTGTAATTCTGGAAATTAAGCTTAATTATTAAGATCGTATACTATTTAGTATTTCACTGAAATTAGTGAAGAAAAAATTTGAAGAAAAAAGGTACAGGAATAACCATATTCATTACAGAGAAATATCCAAGATGGGCGGAACAGAAAACTACACAACAGATGATCTCAAATTAAAACTCAAGTTTATTGAACTAATTGAGTATATATAATAAACAAATGTCATATATTGAGACCGAGAAAATAAAGTATAGTTAGAGCCAGATAAACAAAGAAAAAAAAAAACTGATTATACTGTTACATTATTCTTCATATATATACAAGTTCAAAGTTCATATATAAATATATACCAACCATTTAGCAATATGTACATTCAAAATATATTGGCTACAAATCAACTAAAGGTTCGATATTGAGGAACTTAATTAATTGGTATAACTGAGAAATCTCTCAAACCATAATGATGAGAGTTTGCGGTATCTTTGTAAAGTGTTGAAATCAACGTAATTGATTCCAAACCGAACTGTGTATCCAGTTGCCCACTCAATGTTATCGATCAGCGACCATGCATAGTATCCTTTTACCTTTACACCCTTTCTGCAAACAAAATATATAACAACTAATAAATAAATAACGCAATAAAATAAAAGTTTTTGGGGGGGAAAAAGAAACTATTTCACAAAAAAAAAAAAAATTGTCTGTGAGTTTTTATTCTTTTACTAATGTTAAAACTCAATGTGAATTATCTTTTTGGAACAGAAAAAGTAATTTTTAAAACAAAATAGTTACTCGATTGCTTTGCGGGTGAACTGGAGATGCCGATAATAACTTTGAATTCTGAAATTGTCTTGAAGAGCTAGAACGAATGGCAGTGATGCATTATTTACATTATCAACCCCTGAAATATTTATATAAATATTTTGTCAAATGAATTAATCAGTATGTATATTTATTGTAATTATAAAATATTCTTGTGGTTAGCTCAAGAGGGGAGAAAGAGGTATACCATTTTCAGTAATGTAAATGACTGGATTTCCGTATTTGTTCTTCACATGTAGGAGGAGATGATAAATTCCTTCTGGATAGATGTGAAGCCAGTTTGAGGCAGACTGAAAATTAAACCACTTTAATAAAAACGGTGATAAATGATAATGGAGTACTTTTTCTATAAAGAAGAAGATTCAACCTACCGTATTCATTCTGTTGGTAAAAAAATAATTTTCTTTGCTAAATTGTTTTAATTTAATATATATAAAAAAAAAACTCATTTTATGATTATTATTTTGGGTGGATATTTAATTTTACCTGCTTTCCAATTGGCACTCCAAAACGGGTAGCTGCCATTCCCCAAAGCAAAATGCATTACAGTTAAATCTTAATCAACAAAATGTACCCAAAAAAAAAAAACGCATACACATAATTAACAAAATGAATAATTCTATATTTATAATGAAAAGAACTTTCATTTAATTTGAAGTGAATTATACCAGAAAGGTTAACATGTCTATCTGTCTCGTATCTTGGAAGGCTGGAATCAAAAGCATCGATTGGGGCACTGGCATATAAGGCAGTGTAGTAATTTACACCATGAAAATCACAAGACCCTTTCAACAGCTGAGATTGTTCATGGCTGAATTTCGGAAGACGATTGCCAACAAGAATTTTCATCTCTTCTGGATAATCCCCAAACACCAAAGGATTCATTAACCTATAAATTCAAACACAATGAGAATGTTAATTATCATGTTTGAGTTGTTTCGTATCAATCACGAATTCCATCAATGTAGAAATTATTATAATTTGTAAACAATCGTGAAACTATTCAGTCGGTAACATTATAGAATTTCTATATATACATACACATACCATCCATACAAAAACTCTAGGGCACGACTAGCCGCCCGTTGATCACTAGTCTTGTTTGTCAAGGGAACCATCCAAGTAGCGAAATTCGTCATCCCGATTATACCTCTTTGCTCAGCCTAAAAAACATTAATTCTTATTCAACATCCAATAAATAAATTAACTATCAAGAGGTACAAATATTCAAGATTTGGACGAGCTTAATAGACCGAAAAAAAGAAAAAAAAAAAAACCAGAGTTGAAAAAAAAGGTAAGAAAAACACCTGATATCTAGTCCTGTACAAATGAGTCGCATTAGCATGAGCCAAGAGTTGGTGGTGTGTGACAATGTAAGGTTCAACGGCTGAATTCCCTCCGGTACAATTAGGGTTTATCCATGATGAACATCGGCCGGGGACATGTATCCCTCTATCATAACCAAACGAACTGTAAATAGCTGCTTCGTTGAAGGTAATCCAAATCTTCACTCGATCCCCAAATTTCTCAAAGCACAAATTAGCGTAATCATGATAATCGTCTCTGAAAACATGATTTTATTTTTTATTATTGCGCGGTCCAAATAACTGTCATTTTGAAAGACAAATTTAAATAATCTGAGTTCAAATTTTTATTTGTAGCCGGAAAGAGTATGATACTGAAAATTAAAACTACTCACATAATCTTTGGACTCAAGAAACCACCATATTCTTCCTCTAGAGCTTGGGGAAGTTCCCAGTGGAAAATGGTTACCATTGGTGTTATACCTGTACAAATATAAGTACATAAAGTTGAAATCAACATCAACAATATTGAAGAAATTAGGTAATTGAAACAATTAGTTAAATGGCAGTCCAGTAGTTCGAAATTATACCATTAGCTAGAGCTTCATTGATGAGGTTATTATAATACTTTATTCCATTCTCATTTATGCCTTTGCTAATCTTGCCAGCTGCAAATGAAACTCAATAATTTATATTGTATCAAGTCTTGTCTTTTCGAGGTTCGATATAGTATTGTAGTTGCGAAGTTCAATATAGAAAAAAAACTTAATTGATAATCATAAAATGAAAAATGAAAAAGTGATAGCTATAGCTCACAAGGTATAACTCTTGACCAAGAAATAGAGAACCGGTAGGAATTTGCGTTCATTTCTTTTAAAAGTTTGATGTCGTCCTACATCACAGAAGGAAATCAAATTATTTAATTAGGAGTTAGGACATCAAATATTTTTTATAATAAATATGTAGGGAAGAAGAAGAAGAAGAAGGCACAAATTTTCTCTTTAGATTCGTTATGTAACTCAATTAATTATTGTGCCGAAATCCCCTTGCATGTTTCGTAATATTTTTAAAATCATATTTACTTTGTTACGCTTAGTTTAATAGTTCTGAGAAACAAATGACCTGAACTAAAAACTAATTTGTTTTCTTTTTTTTTTTAAAAAAAAATCCGTATTTGAGAACAATAGGGCACGTGGAATAACTGCACAAACCTTATATCTGTGGTAGGAGTCAGCTGCGAGATCTCCGTTGCTGCGATCGGCAATTTTTTCTGTGTAATTCAGTTTCAAATATATATGTAAAAATAGATTTTTATCTTATATATTTACTCAATTTTTCACAAACAAAGAAATTTTGTTCGGGTTAAAAAAAAAATTCAGAGTTAAAGATATTTCGAAGAAGAAAGTGTAGTTAATGTGAAGTCATTTATAAATTTAAGCGTAATTACAAATTAAGCTCACAAAAACGCGATAAATCAATAACTTTTGCTAAAGCTAGGCAAATGAACACCTGGATATTTGTGTGTAAAATAATCCCAATTGCTAAGACCTTTGCCATCAGCGTTCCATCCACCTTCAACCTACACATTTGATATTTATATCGGACAAAGAAAAAGAAAAGCAGAAAAACTTTATGAAAAAAAAAGAAGCGTAAATAAATTAATTTGATTGTACATTAAACGTGGAACATATATGGTGAATTCATTTCAGGAGAAAAAAATATATCGATTAAAATTGTTTAAATATAAAGAATACCTGATAAGAAGAAGTTGATGCACCAAAGAGAAAACCAGGAGGAAAACTTGTACGATTGAGTAAGCTAATTCCAAAGTTAAGATATGAAGGCTCAGGACTCGGGTCAAACTCATGTAACCCGACTGTTTTTTTCGGAGCTCCGTAACAATAGTGTAACCCATACACGTAGAAGACTAAGAGAAACCCTAGAAGGAGGAGACGATTGTGGAGGAAGACTTCCATGGCTAATTATTAGCTAATTTTGATTAATTTTGCTTTTTGGGTTTATGAAGAGATTAGAGAGTAATTTATACACTTGAACGAAGCAAGTATTGTTTCGGATAAAATAAGAAATGCTTGCACGTAACTATCTATGTCAAGAGAGTTTGCATGCACGTAAATATGCAGATTGCTATGCTATAATAGGTACTCTTTCCGACTTATAAAAATAGTCTAATTTTAAAATTTAATTTATATTAAGATAGTAAAAAGTCGGTTATCGATGATGATGGTTTTTATTGGCCAAAGGATTAATGTTGAGTAGGTTTTGTCCTCGAAAGACTTTTCTTTTGGGATGTTATGAGAGAAACACAAGTTTGTATTAAAAAGATCGGCATCATTAAGGCTTTCATCCCATTTGATCGATATGTGCTAAACTTTTAAAACTCCTCCAAAAAATATCAAACATATATCTTTATCTACATTCAACACTTGTTATTTTGTCAAAACTCAAGCGATAGTTTTTTAAATTTCCCAATTTATATATGATATAAGGACGAGATTTTTGCTAATAGCTAAATAAAATTTCCCCAATCAATACATTTTCTTCCTTTTCGTGATAGCTTTTTATTGTATTTTGGTGATATTTTGTCAATGTGCGTTTCTTACATATGTAATAATGTCCTCAGTTTTATGCAATAAGAAGTATAGGAGTCATTCATCGCCAAGTGTAGTTTATCGATTAACATAGTTTTGATGTTCACAAACTTCTATCTAATAGCGGCTAGAGATTTAGCTAAGCACTATTTTTTTCGTAATCAATTTGAACATATGGACAAATTTCCGAATCAGTGTGCGTGTGTGTGTGTGTGTCTTTCTTTGTATTGTTCTTTTTCTAGGAAGCCTTTTCTTGATTGGATAACTTATACATTTGATAACAAGAGGTATTCAAGGAATTGATTGCCACTTTTATCCCCACATTCCCATGGATTTCATAATTCACAACAAATCAAATTTTACTAATTAGTTTATTTAAGTTAGTATATGGCGCTAATTTTACTAATAATTAGAGGGCTCATTACAAATTAATCGAGTTTACTCTCCTTATTATAGTTGGGTTGCAATTATAATGTCGCCTAATTTCTGCATCCGATCCATTCATTTTAAATACAGTACACACTAAGTGAAACAAAATATCTCATTTTGAAACCAGATGGTAACAATTTTTCACATGGAAGTTTCAACACAACACGAAGAACAGACAAAAGCCACAATATAGTTTCAAGATGACATTGATTAACATGTTCCACTAAGATTTCATTACATTTGGTAGGAACAAAAGCTTATTAAGACTATGCTGTCACTATGTACACTGCATTTGATGAATTCCACAAAGATTAAAGAAAGAAGGGGGGAAAAAAGAAGCTGTAAATTTCTGTGGGTAAATCATTTAAGATGAATATCGAAAATGGGTGTAAAATAATATATGCTGCAAGTTTACTTGTAGCCAGATTAGCAAGGAAGAACAGTTAAGGAGTAGTACCAGCTTGGTGCTAGAGCATTTGTTCATGAATTATGAACTCCGTCCAGAGTCTTCAAGCATCATTCCTTTAAGACTCTTCGCCAACCAGATCGCTGTTTCCCTCGGAGAAACCTTATCTTTTCCAAAAGGTTTCAGAACAACAGCAAGCTCTTCCAGTCTGTTATGTTGAAGCAAATCGGCAGATAATTCTAGCAGCCCTTCAAGTGCCTCTGCCCTCTGTCGGAATGACTTGACATCCAGACCTTCCTTTGGCGCTGCTACTGGTGTTGTTGGCACTTCATCCACAGCTGCAGGAGGATTCAGTACTGTTGGTTCTGAGGATTCTAATTTTGTGACAGGAGATGACGAAATTGATGGGGTTTTTACATCCACTTCTTCAGTGTTTATGTTGTTACAGAGGTCCAGCTTTGAAATCGGTGTCTCTGGGTTACTAGGTGGCGTTGGAGCTGGAGAAGCTAAGTTTTTAATCTCTAGTTCATCTGTGACAACATTTATCAGCTTTCCAAGATCAACATTTCCATCCACCGTTTCAATCACTGGTGAATCACTCCCAACACGGAAGCTGCTATGCCGAATGACGTGTATGACATCATCAAACGCTGGTGAAAGATGATTAGCAGAAGCTTTTTCAACAAGCACATTTGTTTGAAGACTACCTCTATCTGACAGCATAGTCTTTTGGCTCGAAGGAATAGGATGGATACTTGGAGAAGGGCTCTCCACCACGGAAGAGAGTAGCTCTTTGATCATGAACTTATCATCACCACTGGATGTTGAAGTGAGAGTAGACGGAGTTGAATTCTCAGGCCTATCAATTGACGTCATTACTGAAGCTTCATCTCTTGAAGGAAGTAGCTCACATGAAGATCGGCAGGGAATCTCCATATCAATGGTTGCATTGACATTGTCATTACTAATATCAATGGTGGAGGTTTTACTCCCCATATGCTCCTTAAGTCTCTCTGCTAAGGACACCTTAGAACTTTTTTCACGTCCATGATCCTCTCTAGAGCAATTTTCAGGCATGTCAGAATGTGATGAACTAGCAGAACAGCTTGGTCGGGATGGTAGACTTTCAGTCTCTATGGCTTGCTCCTGACAGCGAAGTATCTGTGCTCCTAAGTCAATGAATGGGGTGGTCGCGTCGTCACAGAGCTCAAATGCTTGCATTGACACAGAAGAGGAAGCAGAATTGCTGCTCTCTGTTGGGGCTCCTTTAGCAGTTACTGCTTTAGACTTTTGGGAATAGTCAGCATTACCCTTGGTTGCACGTATATGGAAGCTTTTAGACACTGAAGTGGGATTCTTTTCTGCTGCTTCAACATTGTCATTAGGAACAATTTTATCATTTCCAGGAAAATGTTCATCAATCCCAACTTGTTTTATCCGTCCAGCAAATGACGATCGTCTGGTTAGGGTTGGAGGAGTTCTTTGTCTTGATCTCAAAGGCGTTCCATCCTCACCTGAACTCTTTACAGGAACAGGGGGAACCTCGTGTCTTGGCCTAGTCTTTGGTGTTGAGTCAGCAACAGGCAACTGTAGAAAATATCACTAACATGAGTGCTACATGTAACTGACATCAATTCATTAAGAGATCAACTGAAAATACCTGATGCTTCAAAGAATGCATTGCAGGCCGCTTTAGAGATTCAGGACTAGTCTTGGCCTCCACAGGAGAAGGCATATCGCCGTTTGCCTTCAAACCAGCTGCAATTGGACTAATTCTAGGTATTTTGGAAGATGCTTCGGCATTAGCTCTTTGTGTACAAATGCCGACACCCTTTGTCCGGTTGCTTCTCATGGGTGAACTCTGTTCTCTAGCTTTTCCTTCTTTAAGTGCCATCATGATACTTTTTATTGTTTTAGGATGCTTGACTTCAGCATTTTGACATCTGTGCTCATCAGCATGGGGTTTAATCACCTCAGCTTCGTCTGGCACACAGAAGTCAGGTACATGTGGTTCATCACCTGGTTGAAGCAGCCCACAAGAAGAATCATCATCGAGAGAAGTCAAGTCTGCTTCCCTGGATACTTTTTCAAAATTATATACCATGGGGTGATTGTTTCTTTCACTTGACTTTAAACTGTCTCTATCACTGCATGAACTGTTACTGCTTTGGCTCTCGGCCATATTCTTGCGGGAATCCCTACTACTAGGAGGTTTCTCTGGATGACGACTAAAGGATGGACGATATTGATCAACATAAGACTGCAGATACGGATGCTTTAATATTTCAGATGCCTGTAAAGCCAAATGATAGTGAAGTTGTCATATTGTCTAGGATCCAATTTCTAAGAAAATAAAATGACTTGTTACGGATATTACATTTGGCCGATGCTCAGGATTCTTTCTTAACATTCCCTTGATGAGCGTTTTCCTGATCAGAGGATAATAAAAAATGTGAATTTCTGTATCTGAAACATAATAGGGAAACCAAAAAAAAAAAAAAACAAATAATGGTAACCCTCCATTTACATTGTGGTAAATGATAAAAAAGAAATGACTTGAGGGTAATCCACAGTCATTTACTAAATATATGAATACACATGCGCTCGTGCACAGAAAGGAATGGGGCCAAGAAGTTAACAGCCTAAGACACCAGATTGAAAAGTCATCATACAGAATATAGAGGAAAATAGACAGGAAGAAAAGCCACTGCTTTGCTACAATCACTCATCAATCATAGGAGCTTTAAGATATTCAACAATATGGAGGTAATGCATTAAAACAGCTTCAAGGTGTTAAGAAATGATCTATACTCAGGCAAATAGAAGAACACAACTTACAAGGATGGAGAGTAACATGAAGGCAAAGGACCAATTGATGATCTATTTATCTTACTAATCAGTCCTGCCATATCCTGTAAAATGGCAAAATGACAAGACATTAGAAATCAAATGGTCTTCACCGAAGAAGACAGCTTTTTGCCTAACAAACTTGATTGTCAAGAACAAGCACATAGTGTAATCCATGTAGCATGCTATGATAAGATAGTTAAAGGATATGAAAATGGAGAAACTTTTCCATAGGTACACAGATCATTGTGAAAGCACGATCATCTAGACAAAGGAACAGACGTGACTGTTTCCAACAAGGAAGTTTCAATACTGTTCAAAGTAGGCTTGATAAAGTTGCAAGTGGAAGAATGATAATCGTAATCAATGAAGTACAGAAGGATTGGTGTAACTTCAAGTGAAAGACCGAACTCCAGTCAAACTAAGTACTGATAAATGAAATTGACTATTCAGATTAACCACCCAATGGACAATAGTTGCAGCAGAGGCTGGTTACGAACAAGACCAGATCCAAGTATAATACCATTTACGATGAAACTATACCAATTTGATAACAGAAAAATCAAAGATAAAGGATGTGTGACCATAAAATTTAGGAACAACGTGATTACTTCTCTAATAGGATGATGGATGTCCAGCTTTTCGTAAAACTGTTTAAAAGGCTTCAGTTTTCATATACAGTCATGAGCACAAATTTAATGATCAAAATACTTAAAAATCACCATACAACTAGTTGAATTAGTGTTGTGCCTCGGACTAACAAGAAAATCTAATCTTCGCATGCAAGCACAAGAACTTTTCAAATACAACATACATCCAACCCAGAGCCTTAAGGGAGACCAAATCACTGTACAAGCATTGTGCCTTGGACAAACAAAAAAATCTGATCTTCACATGCAAGCACAAGAACTTTTCAAAGACAACATATATTCAACCCAGAGCCTTAAGGAACTATTTATACTGCATAAAAACTAGACCCCAAGAAAAACCAAACAAGAGAAGCTATTGTAGCAGACTGCTAAGAGAATTAGCAGCAATAAAATGAACCACTTTGTACACCCCAGTATCATACAAGTTTCTGACGTAATGCATCAAGTGCTAATATGATGCTCCAACAATATCCTACTAACAGCTTACCAACGACGTTTAATTTGCATTTGTCTTACATTTATGCAGCAGCAGAAAAAGGAAAAGTAAGAAACTAAAGTGTCAAATTCAGCACAAGGACGAGTCTTACAAAAGCTTTAAATGCAGGACGATGAGCAGCCATTTCATACATGCAGCAGCCTGTTTTTATGAAAATGGAACATTTGAAAAATTAATAAACAAAATGAAAGCAATCAGAAAATAGTGAAAAAGCCAAAAAATGGAAGCTAATGACAACTATTTGATACATTTTAGATCAAAGCAGCTATTTTTCAAGAGGAAAAGTTAAAATTGACAAGGAATAATCTTCCATGATAGCGCTTAAAAGTGCAAACCCAGAGGGTAAAATTTCAGACACTTAAAGAACTCATATTAGTCCAGTGGAACATATTACTACATTACCAGGCATTACTACAGTAAAATAACATGCAAATGGAACGTCTGCTTTCACTAGACTTTGACCCTACTCTTAACTGAAGCAATTTTCTGCTCACTTCAATTTCGAGGAATATCTGAAAGCACTTAGACTAATTTAACCTAAAATGAAACCTGAAGCCCAAATTTAGCTTTGTTTATGGGAACCACTTCATTAGACATCACTTACTATGTAAAAGATACAAAGGAGAATAAATTTTAATCGCGGGAATGCTTTTTAAAACCATGGGGCATGTGGAACTTCTCTGAGATGGAGAAGTATTATCTTCTGGTAGCATAACTTAAGTTTAAGTACCTAGTTTGAATAGAAAAATTATAGATTGTGAGAATGTCAAGAGCCTACCATGCTTTAAAAACAGTGCAAAGGTTAACAGTTTATCTCAGGAACAAAAAGGAAAAATGTACCTACCAAGAGACCAAATGTCAGATTTAAAACCATATGGAATATCAGCGAGAAGTTCAGGACACATGTAGTTTGGAGTCCCGACTACCTGAACACAACAACCTCTCATAAGTAAGACTTGAAATTAGAATATGTAGCATAGGTTAAACACCATATGAAAGGGGAGGGACATACTGAAGAAGCCAAGTCATCTGCCTTTAAAGTTTTAGCCAGTCCAAAATCCCCTGATAGAATTTACAGTTGGCAAAGCAAACAGTCAAAATCAACTTTAACTCAACATTGAACATTTCACACACATTTGATCAGGAGAACCAAACTCACCAAGACGAACATCTTGATCTTTTGTAAGAAAGATGTTAGAGCACTGCAGAAAAGAGTAAAATCAAATAGTGATCTTATAACAACTAAAGCAAAAAGGAGATTATTGGGGTACTTGAATACGCACTTTAAGGTCCCGGTGTAGGACAAAATTGGAATGCAGATATTCAACTGCCAGCAGTAGTTGTGTGAACCACTTCAACAGTTTCTGGATCACACAGATGATCATAGTTAGTCAGAGAACTGCAACATGTGTACCATGTTCTTACTAAGTAATTGAAGCATAAAAAAAACAAAATCTTCTGAAAAGAAAATGCATATTTTGCTTTGCTATTGAATTTTTCAACGAATCATTCTCCCAAGGATTGGCATTCACAAAAGACATTTTCACAACTGAAATAAAAGGAATAAATACCTCTTCTGGAAAGTGTTGTCCATTAGCTTTTTTCATCAGTTCAGCCCTGGTAATAATAGATAATTTTCAAATTTTATTTTTAAGAAATGACATGATACTAGGCCACCAAATTGATAAAATTTTCAACTTGTTCATAACTTACATGTCACCACCCTCACAGTAGCCAGTAACTATGCAAACATAACAACCCTGCATTTTGAACAAAACAACAAAATTACAAGGTTGGTAAAATAACAATAGGCCAAATAGATAAAAAGTCAAAACCAGCAGCAGGAATGATAGGCACCTTCTCCACCCAGGCTTCTTTAAATTCGACAATATATGGATGCCGAATCCTCGCTATTAAAGCCATCTGCACATTGCGTAACCAATCTCAGGAAGTAATTTCACTCAGCCATATCAATATAGATGCAGGGAAATGTCCAAGCGGCAAACAAAAGAATACTAAAAGTTGGGAGCAAATTAAAGGCTATACCTCTTGATGAGCAGATCTTCTGCAGCGCTCTGTTTGTCGAGCTAAACGAATCTTCTTCAATACATACCTATTGATCCATTTTAAAAGAAACCCATCAAGGAAAATTAACAAATACTGTATTCCAATAGAGCTACATTTAGAGCAAGAAACGAAAAAAACTGAAATCAAAAGCGCCACATTGAACATACTTCTGTTTTTCAAGCTTGTGATTGACCAAAATGGCTGCTCCAAACGCCCCTCTTCCAATCTGCTCCATGATCTCATACTGATCCATCTTTGACTCCATTCCTTAAATCCCCCAAAAATCCAACCAAAATGCACTCTTTCTCTACTGATAAAAACTTCACACTTGCAAACTAGACTGAAAAAAAACTCAATATCCGCTACAAAAATACAAATTCCTTGCACTTCCGAATCCTCTTTTGACCCATACCCACATCAAATTCGAACCATCCAAGATGAACCCAAATGCCAATATGCATTAATAAGATTGTTTGACAGCTAGATTCCAGAAAATCCTTTCTGGGTTATTTTTCCTCTTCTCTCCCCAAATCAAAATCCCAAAACAGTGCGTGTCTGTGTGTGTTTAGTATATTACTTTCTTTCTGTGGGTGATTATTGATTAAGGTCCTCTGATCTAAAAAAAAAAAAAAAAAAGGAACAGTGGCATATTTACATATGTAACTTTCCAAACATTTCGTGAGAAGTGAGAGTGGGGAAGACAACTGAGTCAATCAAACAGAAAAAAATAAAAACAAAAAAAAACAAAAACCCAAAAAAAAAAAGTGGGAAAGGAGAGCAATTATTATTTTATTTGAAGAAGGATTAAAGAAATGAACAATGGGTGCTACTGGGATTAAAGTGTAAAGTGAGAATGGTTTAGAAGGGCTAATCATAGTTGATAGGGTTGGTTTGGTTTTTCACAACTTCCAACCTAATTCTCCCTGTCACAGTGTTCATTGTTCTGTTTCTCTTTCCTCTCTGTACATACATTACTGATTTTTGCTCCCACTCATTAATGCTTCTTCCATACTATCAGTGTGTCTTTTAAAAAATGGCAGTAGTAAAACTATAAAATCTCTTCTCATCATCATTAATCTTATACGTAAATCGATCCCTTTTCAAGTTTCAATTCAGGGGGAAGGAATGAAAAAATAAAATACTCCTCTGGTCCTTAATATGAGGCACTTTGATTTGTCATTTTCACTTATATGTATCTTTAATTGACGAAAAAATTATAAAAATATATTTTCACATTCGTCGTGTTCTCTTGATTGCTATGAAAAAATTTTAAAATTTTTTTATCAATAAAAAATACGCACTAAGTTGAATCTAGAAAAAGTCAAAATGTGTTATAATAAGAAGTGGAGGAAGTAATTACCTAGTTGAATCAATTTACAATATCAGGGTGGTGGTCATCAGACAAACATTTTTGTTTGTTTGATTGTTGTTTTATTGCTTCTTTTGAGTTTTATTCTGATGTAAGAAATTCAGCAGTCTAAAGAGTCTGTACGTATCTTCTATGTCACTCTTCCCCCACCATTTCTCCTATAACTTTTAAATATTAACGTCACGATCAATTTGGACCAAAAAAAAAAACTATATTTTAGACCCTTAAAAATGAGATACAATTTTATTGGAGGCGCAAAATGTGTCACACATGACATTTAGATTGTGTACAATGTCGATTAAAAATGAAATATGATTTAATTCGAGGTGCAAAATATGTCACACATGACATTAGATTATGTACAATGTCAGTAAATAATCTTGGTCATCTCTCACTCATTTCAGTATTTATTGAGGTTCAGCACTATTCAAAAGGATTGAGTTAAAGGGTAATAACAAGAGGGAAAAAGGGATGTAAGTTTTTTAAATGTCAATCAAATTAATGAAATTACCTCTTATTGGAAGGGGAAAAAAAAAGATGGTAGGGATGAAATCTAAATTCCCGTATAGAGTAGATGACAATCATTCATCATCATGGTCTTTTGACATTATATTAGGATAGCTACTGAAGTACGGAGTAGATCAAGCGCTTGATCCAACTTGAAATTTCGTTCTTCCTGTTTTCATATGGTTTTGCCACAATGGACATCAACACAAGCTATTTTTCCCCAGAATACGAACTTCTTTTAAGATTGGTTTGGCAATTTTACATTATTTCATTTCCAACTTTCTCCATCCAAATAACTATTTTTGTAACAAAACAATAGAAAAAGCAGTCAAAATATCCTCGCTATCTTTAAAACCAATAGCGCTTATTTTGATATAGACTATCGAGTCTCTCCATCAAACTACCAATATTGATTTCTAGATAGATAGATGAATATACTATTTTTGCTAAACTTGTTCTAGTTCAAATATATATATACTCCCTCCATTTTAATTTGTAGGTCATTTTAGGTTTGGAGAGATTTTTTAAAATGTGGGTCGTTTTACAAATGTTAGGCAAATTAATGATTTTTTTCTAATTTTACATTCAATAAATTATGCCAATCTATTTTCATTAGTCTTGTTTATAATTTTCATGTAATTAATGAGGGATAAAACAGATATTTAACACATAAATTAATTCTTCGATGATTGTCTCATTAGTTTACGTACAGTGGCTTATATTTTGAAATAGAGAGAGTACTAAATTTCTTTTTAGGACGGAAAAAATAATATTTACAAATGTAAATCATTCTCGATAATGACTAGTTGACCGCCGACAAAACCAGCTGGTCATATAGCAGCAACATTGGCCTTAGTGCTAGAGAGATGCTAGCAAGAATATACAACTACAGTTACTACACCACTCAAGAGATCATGCAGCTTCATCCTGACCGTTAAAAATCACTAATATGGTCCTACTTAATTGCATCGCAACCGTTATTTCCACCACTGAATGTCTCGGTTGACCCAAATAAAAGCTTAAATTAATTGGGAAATTAATGATTGTAATTTGTAAATAATCGGAATGAATGAATGAATCAATATTTTTTACTTCGCCCGAGAATATACTTTTACCATGAACGGAGACCAATAGAACATTATTTCCCTTAATTTTATTTGTTTACCCACAACCGAACAATTTAAATAATTTCAGTAATTTGATTTCTCATCTTATTGTATAGTTTGTGGCGGCATAATTTTCATGTATAGCGAAACACACATAAAATCTTTTAACTTAGTATTCCTTTAATCCCCAAAATAATTGTTTAGTTTGAACTTTTACCTTAAATAAAATCTATATTAAAAAATAAAAATCAAACCAGATAATCATTTAAGATCGAATGGAGTGTTTTATTTTTTGGGCTTATTCTGTCTTAAAATAAGAATAATATTTGTTGAATTATCATTGTAGAACAAGTAACTATTTCATGAAGAGGGAGAGTGAATCTTACAATGTAGAAATTAGAATGAGTTCTAAAATGTATATGAAATTAATAATTTTATACGGTGAAATATAGGGTACATTATTAGTATGATAATGATGGGAGAGTAGGGATCTACCATGTGATGGCAATGCATTTGCATGCGCCCATGCACGTGCTCATTATGCAAATTCCAACAATACAACAAACTTTCTTCTGTTTTTTTTTTTTTTTCCTTATATTTTGATATTCGGGGGGCAAATGGGATATTCGCATATTATGTGACAACAAATATTAACGTAATGTATATTGCATCAGCAATAATAATTAAGTAAAACTATTTTTGGTCCCCTGCATCAAAAAATAAACAAAATCATCATTTGGCTAACTTTAGACGTCTTATTAAGGGGATACTCGATTGGATACTTCAATAAATTAACTCATAGATATTACTCTCTATTCTATCCCGAAATAATCATTCAGATTGAAATTTACTTTTAGTACAAATTGTTTTAAAAATAAGAATTTGAAACGATATTTATTTTAGAATTTATCTTTAGTGTAAATATTAAAAGTAAAAAATTTAAACTGAACTATTGTTCGAAACCGATGAGTATTATGTTAATTTAACCTTGACCATCGTATCCAAACTCTTTGTAGCCCTAAGATGAAGGTAAAAGAAAAGTTTAGTTGATTATTTGTTTTAGTAAAATTAAAAATTTAATAATAACACAAAATACAATAGTTTTATTTTTGCAAGATGGGCAATAGTTCAAGAGATATCTTGGTTGCTTGATATTGCGAGAACAATGCCAACAGTCAAAATATATAACATCACTAGATCTGCAGAACATGGAAAATAGCATCACCAACATGTCTTCTCATGCAAATCAAAGCAGCAGTTTTCCCCGGTGTTAGTTTTTGAAGCCACCATCTTTACTATTTAAAGCCGCCATAAATTTTTTTGGACTATTTTGCCCCTCACATTTCAAACTTCCACCACAGGAAAAAAGAGAGAAAACTTAAAGCCACCACCCTTCTAAATCTCATTTTGAAGTCTAATTTGATCAAAAATTGATGGCAACACGGAAGAATCAAAGCGGAAAAGAACCGATCTCATCACGGGTACGTTTTTTTTTAAAAAAAAACTTTGTGAATTGAAGAAAAAAAAAAGACTTTCTGGCCGCCGGACAGGCAATGAAGCCGTTCGGCGGCGCGACCAGGACGCGCAAGCAACGCGTCCCGGTTCAACCCCGAACGAGCAAGCCGCCCGTTCCCAGTTGAACCGGGACGCGTTGCTTGTGCGTCCCGGTCGGGCCGGCGGCGGCCAGGATATATATATATTTTTTTTAATGTTGTAAGACCGCCAGACGGGCAATGAAGCCGTCCGGCGGCGCGACCGGGACGTTCCGGGTTGAACCAGGACGCGTTTATTGCGCGTCCCGGTCACGCCGCCGGCCGGCTTCCGGCGGCCAGATTGCTATTTTTTAAAAAAAATTTGTTTAATTACAATGTATTTATGTTTTAATTATGTTTGATTTAATGTAATTAGGGTTGGTAAGTATTTTTTTATTATTTAATAGTTTGTGATTTAGATTGGTTATTTAATTTAATTGTGTAAATAATTTAATTTGATTAATAATAGATTAGTTCATTAATTAGTTTGATTGATGTACTTATTAATTTAAATAGTTATTAAAATATTTAGGTTATATTTTTAATTAAGTTATTAGTAGATTAGTAAAGTTAATCATTTGAATTGATTAAATTAATTTAAATAGTATATAAATTAGTTGAATGAGAAAACTAATTTAATTAATAGTAGATTAGTTCAGTACCTAATTAGTTTAATTAATTTACTTATTATTTTAATTAGTTATTAAAGTAATTAGGTTATATTTTTAATTTAATTATTAGTAGATTAGTAAAGTTACTCATTTTGATTGATTAAATTAATTTAAATAGTACGTAAATTAGTTGAATATTAAAAACTAATTTCATTAATAGTAAATTAGTTCACTACCTAATTAGTTTAATTGATTAAATTATTTATAATTTAAGTAATAGGAGATTAGTAAATCTAATTTAAATTGTGTGTAAAGTAGTTAATGATTAATTAAATTAATATAAATATTTTGCAAAATAGTTGAGTATTTTTAATTAATTAAATAGTAATTTAATTTAAAATTTGGTAAAGTACTTTAGTTTACTTAATTGTTATATGAATTGTATTAAATTATTAAACTATTTAGGATTTAGGATATGTGTATAATTATTTGTTTAGACTATGAAAATATGATGACGATGAATAAAATTTTGTTTATAGGTTTATTGTGATGATGATGATGATAGTGATACTAGTGATACTGAAGATAGTAGTAAGCGTAAGGTTCGTGCGCGTTATCTGACCATGAGTCGTCGCAAGAAAAAAGAGGAAAAAGAGAAAAAGAAGCGAATGAGATGACTCAGGTCACTATGAGGGGTGTACCGCTTCAGACTCGGTCTAGTCAGCCGATTCATGTACCCGAGTATTATCAGGACGACCTGGAAGAGGGGGATGAGGATGAGGAGGATGAGTTTGATGAGGATGATGAGCAGGACAGTGTTAGGATGGGTGCACATCACAGAGATACGCCTATGTACAATCTTAGTAGTTACCCTCCTCCTCGGTACTCCAGTTGTACCCGGCCTGGTCCTCGCGGTTTACCCTCTCCCCCTACCCCTATCCCTTCTCCTAAGAGTGGTGAGTGGCGCAGTCCATATCATAGTCCCTCTTCCCGCATCCGGGTGAATTCTCACAGGGTATATCCACCGGTAGTCAGCCTCGTCCCCCCCGCCCCGCTCAGGCATCTCCCCCCTACATTGATCCCGTGCCCCTCGCGGAGATCCCGTCTCCGCTCGAGTATCTACACATCCTCCCCTTCTCATTGATCCCGTGGGCCCTAGCCGAGGTTCCGGATCCACTGGAGTATCTACACGTCCAGTTACCACTACTGCATCATCAGGTACCAAATATCTATATTTAATTGTTGTAATTATTTAATATTCTGTAATTATTTTTAATTAATTATTTTTACTTATATTTATTGAATTGTTGTATGTGTATAAAATGTAATAAATAATATTTGGCTTACTCATTCATGGTACAGGCGGCAGCAGCCAGTCGAGAGTTTCTGATGACATTGATCTGACTACATGGCTAGTGATAGATGAAGTACCTGGTGGGCCGATAGATGGTAGCGTGATTCCTAGCTTCCTTGGGCATATTGCTTATCATTTCTGGCATGGATACAATAGACCCACATTGAAGATTTTTAAAGGCGAAAAGATTCTGAATAAGTTGAAGATGTGGTATAAAGATATGGATGATGATGCGAGAGGCAAGATTCGGGGGACTGGATTGGGTCACCTTCTTCATACCTCGTATGAAGATATTGATCTTGGCTTAGTTCAGGCATTTGTTGAGAGGTGGCAGCCGGACACCAACTCATTTCATTTTCCGTTTGGGGAGATGACCATCATGATGCATGATGTTTATCATATTTTGGGCATTGAGGTCGATGGAGAGTTGGTGTCAGGTACGTCCGACACAGATTTGTTGAGGAGACATGCAGCAGGGATACTTGGCCTGGATATGAATGATTACAAATGGAGTCATGGCGGTGTCTCTGATTCGTTCATCCTTGAGCGATGCGAGAAAGCGGACGAGAATACCCAGGCCTCTGCTTTCTTGTGGGTATTGTTGGCCTCGACGTTGTTCATGGGCAAGAGTGGTGGGAGGTGCAGTGTTGCACTTGTACATGAGCTGATGGCTGGGATCGAGAATATGGGTTCATACTCGTGGGGCTCTGCTACGCTTGCGTTCCTATACCGTCAGTTAGGGATGGCTAGTAGGGCAATGTGCACTCAGTTAGGTGATTATTTGACCCTACTGCAGGCCTGGATATACGAGTATTTCTCGATTTTTCGCCCCCAGGGAGGGCGAGTTACCCGTGGGGGTAACGACAGAGCCAGAGTACATGACTGGATACCACCATCTTTTGCGGGGCCGACATCTGTGTCAGATCGTCTTCTTCAGGTTAGGGAGCGTCTCGACCGTTTCACCGAGTTAGAGGTACTTGATTGCTTCATTTGACTGTATTAATTTTTTTTTTTTGAAAATTATATTTACAAATAATCTAAATACTATTTTGCAGGTTAAGTGGGAGCCATTTGGACCTGGCCAACAAGGAATAGTTCCTAGGACTATCTATAGTGGGTGGATAATGTATAGGAACATGCAGGAGCCATACATGCCGGACAGATGTATACGTCAGATTGGCTACGTACAGAGCATTCCTCGTTCGCCCATGTCCCCTGATGATGCATTCCGAGGACCCAAGACTACCCAGTACTTTGTATAGCATTCTGCTGTTGACACACTCAGTACTTGGAGGAGATTCCCGGAGTCAGCGTGTCTTAATTTGACCAAATGGCGATACAATTATAACGGTGACATCGTAGGAGAGTGTGAGGATGGGTACCTTGAATGGTACATGCAGTATTCACATCCATTTTTGCTGCCGACAACTGACCCATCTGTAGTCTCGACACCAGCTAAGAGCAGTCAGGATTATGTAAGTTGTATTTTTTATTTTTTGAGTTTTTGTAGATATACATTTCTATATTATAAATAGTTTAACCTTTTTTGGATTTCGTGTTTTCAGTGGATGAATGAATTGAGGAAGCTGACCAGAGACCTGATTAGAAAGGTCAAAGTGTCCGATCGCAACCTGGCTGACGAATATGATAAGAAGCTGCAGGATACGATGATCCGTTATTATAAGGCCCCATGATCATTGACATTGTTGTATTTTTGGACTGGATTTGTTTGTTTTTCTCTTTCTTGGACTGCATTTTTTTTTTTTTGATGGTATGATGGGATTGTGTGTTATATATAAGTTAGCTTATTTGGTGTCCGTGTGGTAAGTTTTTTTCTTTATGGCCAACAAGGTTTGTTATTGCACAAATAATAAAAAACAAACAAATTAGATAGTAGATAATATCATTATCATCATCACAACAAACAAACCTACATGGATCTAATCTAAGAAACTAAGATCAATGTAATCATTATCATCCAATGGCCGCATCCGGGTGAAGGGGACCAACCTATACCAATCTTGAATTCTAGGAAGAAGTGGTAATTCCCAACTAGCAACGCTAGGCTGATGTTCCTTAGTCCACCGATTATTGATTGGTGGAACTGGAAAGTCACCGTCCAAATTGATCCGAATGAAGTGCTTGTAAAGACCATGGTGACATACCCCAATCTCAAATGCCGGACATGTTGCCTCACCGCGTGCAGTGACAGGTAGTATAGTCCAACATGTAGAGTTTAGCGACTGGTTCTCTTCCCCTGCACCGTAATAGTACACAATTGCATTGTTTATAGTCGCAACTACGAACAAGTCCGTCACACAAATCCAATGTCGCTCAGGTGCGAAACCCTGTCCACTCCACCGTATACGACGGACTTCTTCCGGTAAGGACGTCCTGCATTTACATATACAATTATTTGTGCAAAATACTGCCAAGTTCAGCAAACATCATAACATAGAAAATGAAAAGTATTTATACCCCGTAGATTCGTTTGTACAGATGCCAATTCTGTTCTAGCTCGTTTGCCATTGCCTCTCTCGCCATCGCCCACTTCTCCTGGCTCAAAAACATGTTACTCGCGACTACGCGAAATCCACAATTGCCATCGGCACCAACATCAAGGTAACTAGTAATATATGGCCGAATGGGCCATGGAATGAGGTCGTAGCAACCATATTGTGAAATATCACTCGCAAAGATCTCTGTACATTACTCGGAAACAATGTTATTTGGAACAATTGATAATAAATAAAGAATATTCTGAACAATTACTTCTTAACATGTACCTGTAGATGCATCTGTATGACCACCTGAAGACGAGGGGCGCTTCTTATTTGAATCGCTAGTAACTGTGGTCGACTTTCCTTGTGCCTCGTCCCTGTAATCCCACACATTAGGAGTTGCTTTTTTCTGTGGGGATTGTCCATGGGCAAGAGTGTTGGCCTCTGCTTTTTTCTTTGATTTAGCCCCCTTAGGCCGCCCCTTCCTTCTCTTGACCTCCTCGGGTTGTTTGAACCCACACTGGTCTGGATGCATAATATCGTGGAGAACCCTATTTACAGTACGTCGTACTGCCTTAGGACACTCGTTCAGCTCTTCCATCAACTGTATCTGGTATAAAGGACCTCGTCATCCACATCGCTAGGAGCACTCGTACCAGCTTGTTCACCGATATTAAGGGTCGCCCAGAATGGGTGAATATGCTTCAGAGTTATCGATGTGCCGGCATCTGCAGCCTTTTTGAGGGCGCACGCACATGGAATTCGACAAGTCCAGTACACCACATGATCGCATCGGTCATTCGTTTCTTCTTTCCACTCTTGCGCCTTCAACCACTCAGTGTTCAGCTTTTGCAAACAAGTATGTGAAACTTGACACTTCTAGCGGTTCAGTGGAAAACCGCAATAATGGGTGCCAATTTTCTGTCTTGAGTACTCCAGTTTGTACCTGAATGTAGCCAATTACTGTAAAACATTCTACGTAAAATGCCATAAAAACAAAAATAATTACTAAATATATTATAATAAATATAACTTCTAATATAATGGAATAGAACTTACCGTATTTCGGTTAGCTGACTCTGAATTTCCAAGTGCACCTTAGCCCAAAGTGTATCCAGCGACGCCGTGGATGTTTCCAGCCAGGTTTTCAACTGCTTGTGCGCGCTCTCCACCCTACCTGTAGTAGTGTTGCCCATATGAAACACATCATTTGTCCATGCCTTGACGAATTTGTAGTCAACCACTAGCCATGTCTTCTGGATATAAGTAAGAACTCTCGGAAAAGACTGCCAACGACGGTTTATTACGGCAACAGCTTTATTGTACTCATCCTGGTTATTAGCTTCCACAACGTCTTTCCACAACCCATATGTAAAACCATTTGCAATCTTGGCATCAATTTTCAATTCCTTGTTGAGATGTCGCTTTACATTCTCATAAACGTGCCAAACACACAACAAGTGGCATGAATCTGGAAATACCATACCCAGCGGCGCCATCAACCCCGGTTCTCGATCAGTAACAATAACAGCCGGAGACAGATGACCAGGTAGCAAATCCCTAAATTGTCTCAAAGCCCAATAATAACTGTCAGCAGTCTAGTCACTCAAGAGAGCGTATGCAATCAGGAAGTTCTGCTTACACGGTGTCATCCCAATAAACTCAACCAACGGCATTTTGTACTTGTTCGTCTTTTATGTTGAGTCTATCCCGACGACCCAGAAATAACTGCAAAATAAATTGACAGCATCAGGATGTGCAAAAAATACACGAGTCAAGCACACTGTCTCCCGATGTATGTCTGTCATGATGATGTAACCATGATGCTTGGCCACCGCTAGTGTCTTCGTCGCGACATCCATGGCACTCGATTCACCCAATACCGGGAACCCCTCATTACGCAATTTCTTCCTGAAATTGTACATTTGCCGTCTGTTAACTTTTTCATCAGGAAAGATCCTCTCAATCGCAGCCATGATCTGACACAGTCTGCACCCATCTTTGGACATATCCTGTACAAGCTGTTTCATTCCATCGCTAAGGCCCCTCGTGGGATGATCTTCGTTAAACAGCTCGTGGTTATGCATTCCAAACTCACCAGGATACACCCGAATGCGCCACTTCCCATCCACTAAGTGCACATATAACTTAAATTTACACCCAGTGATCTGTGTCTTCGAATCTGATGTGACATAGTATTCACCATCATCAACTGACACCTTTCCCCCTTTACAACGTCTCATCAGAACAGCATTCTTCTTCTTATTAGAAACTACATTTATTAGCATACCATTTACCATGCCCATGCCTTTCACCCAAGTAACAGCATCATCCTTATTTGCAAATTCCTCATCTGTAGCAAATAATATACTATAATCTTGACCATCGCCACCAAAATCTTCTAAAGAATCCTGCAAATTAAACATAAAATTATAACAATAAAAAACTGCATCATAATAAATTAAATTAAACACATATTCCAATCATTTAAAAAAGTTATACAATTATAATAAATAATAAAAAAAAATATTTACAGTAAATAGATTAATTATTTACTAAATTAAATTTCCCAATACCTACCTAATAAATATTAGTGATTAATTTAGCGATTAATTAAATAGATTAATTATTTACTAAATTAAATACTTATTCCACAAAATTCTTTAATTATTTAATTATTCCCCCCTAAATAAATATTATCTCTAATTAATTAAATCTAAATAGATAAATAAAATTCAACTAATTACATTACTTAACATAACTAATTAATTTAAGATATACAATAATACTATTCTTACTTAATTAAATTAACAAAACATGCAATAAATACAAATATAATTCAACTAATTAATTTACTTAACATAACTAATTAAATTTAATTAACATAACATGCAATAAATAAATATAATTAAACTAATTCAATTACTTAACATAACTAATTAAATTAACAAATAAATTAACATAACATGCATGAAATTAAAATTATAAAAAAAATAAAAAAATATAAAAAATTAAAAAAAAAAACCCGGTTGAATCGGGGACGCGCAACACACGCGTCCCGGTTGAACCGGACGCGTTTTTTGCGCGTCCCCGGTTCAACCGGGACGCGTATATTGCGCGTCCGGTTCGATTTTACCCTGACCGGCTGCGCAATATACGCGTCCCGGTTGAACCGGAGACGCGGAATGTACGCGTCCGGTTCAATGGCCGGACGCATTTCTTGCGCGTCTCCGGTTCAACCGTGACGGTTTTCTTGACCGGTTCGATTATTTTTTAAGTTTTTTTTTTACCTCTGAATTACTCATTTTATTTATCTCTCTACTGACAGGGGTAAAATCGTCCAAATTTTTTTGAGGTGGCTTTGAGTACTAATTTTGTTGGCTTCAAAAATCCATCCCCTTTTCCCCTCCCTATCAGTCTGCCAGATGAAGGCTATTACCTACCTCATGGCTCTTCAGGAAGCTTGGTCACTGGGAATCAGAAATGCCATCATAGATACTGACTGTCAAGAATTGACCACGAACCAATTAATTTCGTCCTTCCCTGTGGAAATTCAAGAAGTAGTCATAAATTTTTTCGAATTAATGACTAAATTTCACTCGTGTGTACTAGTTAAAGTTAGTAGAAGTTCTGTAATGGACATGCATAATCTAACATATATTAGAATGCGAAATACTAGCGTATGTACCTTATAACAATAATAAACAGGTACTTCTTCCAAAAAATAAAATAAAATAAAATAAAAAATGCAAACGGTCAACGGACTTCGTATGAATCCTTAATAATGTTTTAAAATTCAAACCATTACTAACACGATAGTATTATCGTATATAACTAATACTTAGTAAGAGATGCATGTGGAAGACAAACTAAGGAGCAATTTATTTTATATATATACTCCCTCCATTATGAGATTTTCCGGTTGAAACTATCATTTTAAGTGAAATTTTATTAAAATTAAAATTCTAAACATGATAATTATTTTTTAATCAAAAGTTTTTTTTAATTATGTATCAAACTTAAAAACACTTAAAAAATTTATTGATCACGAGAGCATTCCTCGAGAGCATAATTAAATTTGAAAGCTTAAATCGAATAATAGCATTCCTCGAATATGCGATCAGGGAATCGTCCTCATCCAAACATTAGAATGGTAGTGAAGTTTTTTCGTACTTGATTGTAAACCAATAAACACTTATAATAAATAATACTGCTGTTTAGGAATATATATATATATATATATATATGATACCGTTTCTTCTCGTTAGACGGTTGCCAAATGCAACTCTGAATATAATTAACATCTAGATGTCGGATTAATATTAAAGCTCTCCTAAACCAACTCTGAATATAATTAATATCTAGGGATCCGATCTATACTTCTTCTTAATATAATAGGTCGCCTAGTAACCCCCAATCTTCATATTCTTATAGTCCATCATCACTTGGTGGGCATATCGCTCAACAGCCCTAGTTTCACCTATAGGACATTCTTCGGGGGCTGAAAATAATATCGGATGGCAGGCTACTCTCGATGACCGCTTTCCTCAATCTTATAGTCAAAGTATGGTGCAACAGATCACAGTGCAGCAGAAACAACAGGTGTCGCCGTTGCAGCATCAGCAATTTCTGTTGCAGGCGCAACCACAGCAGGTTATGTCGCTGCAGCATCAGCAAGTTCTGCTACAGGCGCAACCACAGCAGTTCCTACCATCGCAACATCAACAAGTGCATATCCAAAAGTTGCAACAGCAGGTTATGATGCTGCAACATCAGCAAGTTCCTATGCAGGCGTTGCAACAGCAGGTCATGTCACAGCAACAGAATTTGCAGGCATTGCAACAGATGATGCAGGCGTTGTAACAGTTACGGTTACAACAGTTGCAGCTACAACAATTAGCACTGCATGTACAGAATCTGCAGGTGGAACAACAAAGTCAGCAGATGCAGTTGCAGCTACAACAATTAGCACTGCATGTACAGAATCTGCAGGTGGAACAACAAGGCAGCAGATGCAGGAAACAAGTGAAAGTTCAGTTGCAACAGCAGATCAGTCGCAAGAAAGTGTTGCGACAGATTTATCGTCGACACCCGGGGGGCTACCTAGTGATTTTGATGCTGAATGTGGCAAGCTTAGGGAAGGCCTGCAGAAAGAGTCTGAGCACCCTTAATGAGAGTTTGTCGCCACAAATGAACAGGTGTCGCAACAACTAAATACCGTTTCGGCGAGTGAATCATTGTCGATTATTGAATCTATAGTTGTTACTGAGCATTGTGAGTATACTGATTCGTTTTGTCTGTCTAATGAACCTGTTATTGTTGAAAACGAGTCTGTCAAAGTTGATTGCAGGAAATCTTGTGAGTCTTCTAGCAGCGATAGTGATATCGAAGAGATTATTTGTGACAGCTGCGATAATTTTTTACCTGTAACTGATAATTTTGTTTGTCCAAGTGTCGATGAAATTATGGGCGATCAGGAGCAAAACCAAGTGGCAATACCTGATTCCAATTTGTCTGTGACAGCTGAACCGGCACAATGCTTAGTTGCTGATGTTCTAAAAGAAGCAGCAGTTGACCAACCAGTTGTAGGTTCTAATGATGGCTTCCAAGATCGGCGATGCAATAGTAGTGCCGAATGGTCAATAATGCAACAGATTCTTTGCCGGATAAGCAGAAGTCTAATCATGCCTGGCTTTATGACAAGAGACGTTCTGCCAATAGAAGAAGCAAGCGGAATAAAGGGACGTCAATACCGCATGGTTTTCACTTTGTAGAAAGGGTCGATGATGGTCCCTAATTACGTGGCATTGATTTTGATGGTGGCGACAGTAATTATGCTTATTTGGATTATGGTGATGCTGTACAGTGGAGGATTGATTTGGCTTAAGATCGTGAATTGTTGAAATCCTTGATTGGCAGAGAAAAGAAACATTCCGCAAGAGGTCAGTCAAAGATGCTTACACCTTCCGCTATGCGGCCTAGCATAATCAAGGCCTTTGAGGCCAAGGTTGTCGATTCTAAGTCTAGCAATGCGTCGGCTAAGATCAATAATAATGTAATTATTCAGGGTGCAGCCGACCAAGAGGAAGAAACTGCTGTTGCAAGGTCAAAGGGTGATGTTAAGGCCGGCGACGATCAAGTAGGTTCTGTTGCAGATTCTAGTAAGTTGTCAATGATTAATGAAGAAGTTGAAAGTATCAGTGCAACATCAAGTTCTCAGGTTCAGAATGAAAGTGGGTGCCAAAATAGTAGTACTCCTGCACATAATGGTCAGTTCCAACAAGATCATAAGGGTCGTCGCGATAATTTTGCCAACTATACATGGCGTCAATGCAGTTCAAGAAGTTTTGGCACAACAAGTGATTTTCAAAGGATATGTCCCACATATCGGCGAAGTAAGCATGCACCTCATTTTAATCATTATGTTCCTCATTTTGCATGGGTACCGTGTTACTTTATTGTTCCCGAAGGTTGGCATTATGTCGATGTTAGTGCCATGCCAAATGCATATTTCTGGTGACATTGCGCTTATCAGCATCCACATCTCATTTCATTCCATTACGTTCCATATGGACTTTCGGGGGGCTTTATGTTAGACTCCAAAATGAATTTGGGTCTCTTTGACAGGCCGATTTGGCCGTCAACTAAAAAGGCAGAGTTTCCCTAATATTGGTGTTCAAGTCGGAGAAAGATTGTTAAGCAACAAAGAAATCTTAGGCTGATTTCGTTTGCTTCCTACAATTTAAAGATAATATTTGGAGGCTAATTATATTCAGAATTGGATTTGGATTTAATTGGTTGAATAAAGACAAGTTAGGCTTGGTTTAGGAGAGCTCTCTACGGTTTGCCACTATTCCGTACAAATTGGGAGTTGATTTGATTGGCTAAAACTGCATCATTTTGGGTTTTGATCAACTTTATATGGTGGTTCCTACGGTTGGCCAACTTGATCAGAAAGTGAAGTACTTTAGTTTGGCAGCAAGTGGAAGTGGAAGATGATTAAGTTACTTTGTCCAAATCCCGATTTAGAGAAGCAAGTATTTCGGCCAAGTTTGATCAGCATTTGTCCAAGTTGGATTATAACTCCTATTTACTAGAATTTTGGAGAGAATCCTTCGGCCTAAGGGAGCAAGGAGTTGGCCGGCTTTTCTCCTATTTAAGCCGCACGGATGACACAAAAAAGAGACACCTCAATTTATCATCAATTGATATCATTCTCTTTCGTACTTTTATTTTCATGTACTTTTTATTCATGTTTTCGTAGATTACCCTAGATTAAATAATTTTTAGCCTATTTTTCTTCATAAAAATAGGTAGTCGTTCATCGTTTTCTACTTCAGTGAATTCGATTCCTCCTTATAATAGCGCATTATCGACGCTTTCCATAATAGCGCATTATCGACGCTTTCCATAACTAGTCGACGCTATCTATCTTTTTTTCTCTCCATTCTAATGAATTGACGGCCACCACTCTTTGGCTTGTCTCACTTTTTTCTATATCTTTTTCTCTTTATTATTAAACCGAAGTGAACCCTAAATCCTCGATTATAGGTCCGAGGCCGGTTTTAGGACACATCCAAAATCGCTTGGTTTTGTATGTTTTAGGAAATTTTCACCCCTTCTTTCTCACGCTTTAGGGTGATTTTTTGGCACAAACATAATGGCACGCCTGGTGGGATGAGCTTTGGTTTGGTTTTTAAGTCGTGAGATTCTGTTTTTCTTGAAAAAAAAAAAAAAACTTCTATTTTTCTTTCTTATGTCCATCACCACTTGGTGGGTATATCTTCGACAGTCTGTAGTTCATATATGACATAATTCTTTGGGGGGAGGGGGGGAGGAGGCTGAAAACAATATTGGATGGTAGGCTACATTTGATTGCCGCTTTTAAAAATTCTATGGTGGTGCCAGCACAGTCTCAGCAAGTGTTGCAACAACAATTGGTTTCATCGGCGCAGCAACAGCAAGTGTTGTCAAGCAACATCAACAACATTGCAGGTGTTGCAGCAAGCCGTGCTTCGATATGCTTATCAACGCTCACATCTCATTCCATTCCATATGAGCGTTCGGGGTGTTATGTTTAACTCCAGAAATATATATTTTTGGTTTAAATGGAATTGGAGTCTATTTTGGTTTAGTTGGAGACATTATGGCTGGCCAACTTAATCAAAAAGAAAAGTCACGCGAGGATTTGTGTTTTGCAAGAGAAGTTAGGCAAGAATTATATTTGAGCTAAAAGACTATTACATATATATATCAACGTGGAGTATTTAAATATCAGATTGGCGTTGCTCTATGGCTTTACGAAGGAGAAGGATTTATATTACTTTCGTAGAGGCCTAAATAGAGTCTACTTCAAATACTTCCCAAGCAGCTGCTGACGGCCAACTTCTTCTATTTAAAGGCAGGGGCGCATCAACAAACGACAGACCTCAAATCATCAAATCAACAAGTCTTTTATTTTTTTTCTTTTTAGTCTTTTACTTCATGTATTTTATCGTTCTTTTCTAGATGTAGCCTAACGTAGATAGGTGTTTGCCTATTCTCCTTCATAGAAATAGGTAGTAGTTCATGGATTCTACTTCGGTGAATTCAGTCTTTCTCTGTAATAGCGTTACATCGACTAGGCATTTCCTGTCAGCGATAGACATTCCCTGTCGACGCTACTATTTTCTGGTTTGTGTTATAGCGTGTCATCGACTATGTCTAGTCGGTGCTAATATCTTTTCTTCTTCCATTTAATAGCGTGTCATTGGCACCATCTATAGTTTGCTGGCGCTTGGATTTTTTCCCACTATTAAGAATTGAAGCCATTAGGCACGTTTCTCCCTCATCTTCTTTATCCTTTTTTTCTCTTTATTTACAAACCAAAGTGAAACTTAAGTTCTTGATTCTAGGTCTGAGGCCGATTTTTGAACGCATTTACAATCGCTTGATTTTGTATGTTTTAGGAAATTTTACCCCTTTCTTTCTCACGATTTAGAGTGATTTCTTCGGCACAAACAATCATTTTGCTGATATAATTTGCAAAACCTTTTAACTATTCCACAGACGTAGGCAGTGTAAACGTAAATGAATACGATTTCTTTTAAAATAACGTGATAACATGTATAGACACAAAAGTTATTTCCCGGACATTGGAAGTAACTTTGAACCATTTTATTTTTTAAAAATTTTTTGGGGGAGACTAGAAACTAACTTTGGATCTCGTTGATTAATAATCATTGAGGAAGACATTTCTAAAATCTAAGCAATAAATTAATAATGATGATTGTGGACTACTATTATTGATTTATTGTCTGGTGGCCCTTTACAGACATATCTTAGTTGCTGTAGGTTCAAGATTTCGAAATGTACTTCAAATCTCTTGGAAACTCTGAAATCAATTTTCACCTCCTTTTGGGCCCAAATGGACCCTCATTAATCAAAGAATTGTCTGCCGAAAGAGTTCCAATTTAGAGAATTATGGGAATGATAATAAGTACTAATACTATTCACGAACAGATTGGGAAAATAATTTTGATGTTAAGTCAATGAAGTTTAGTTGAGCAGTCATTCAATAATTTTTTTCCTCCCTTATTGTGGCTGAGAACTTTATGAAGTTGGTCGGGTCATCGGGTAATCTATAGTGTAATTCCTCAGTTGGAATCCCGAATTTATGCAAAAATATAAAGATTCTTGTACTTTTGTTTTCTTCTTTGTTTCTGTAATTATCTTAGCTGTAAGAAGACCCGACAAACATCACAGGAAAAAAGATATAAATACAACAAAACTCACACAACTATGAGGATGAAACCTTTTTTTTTTCCCCTATTAAAAGAAAAGAAAAAGAAGAAAAAGAGAAGAAAACAGAAGACGACGACATACAGACTAAATCACGTATCAAATGTGTCAATCCATAATGAACAATTGCACCAAAAGAGGATTAAGAAGCCCAAATATTATACTGCAATAGTTCCCAAAAGTGAATCCAACTTCCCTATTTCATTCCAGTCCAATAGAGAGGAACTCCTCATCATGGTTTGTGGCCCAATAAATAAACCCACGAATTAGTTTTTGCGGCGGTGATGATACAAGAGTTAAACAGTGGCGCGATACGATAGAGTTAATTACATTGATATCTTCTTACAACCAGTGATTAAGAATATATGATATTAGTATATGTTGTTATGAAATATTTGATTTGATTTGATTGAATTTCCATAATTAATATGTATTATTCTATTCACAATCAAGGAGATATGATTATGTAATATTTAGCATTAATGATAGGTGATTCATTTCTCACGGTTTGATTCCCTACTTCTTGTATAAATAGGAAGCTCATTCATGCTTCAAAATACGTCTGAATACAAGTCTCTTAGCTCTCTCTACTTTCTTATGTCTCTCTTGTTCTTATACTTAGTTTCACATTAGTAGTTTAGTATTAAATTTATAACACGTTATCAGCATGAGACTCTAACCAAAGAGCTTCTACCACCACCTGAAGTTGGTGTGTATTGATTCTAAAGGCCTGAAGCCTCAATGAATATTTTAATGCTACCACCACCTGAAGTTGATGCATATTGATTCTAAAGGCATGAAGTCTCAGTGAATATTTTAAAAGGTTTTTGTGACCTGAAGCGCCTGAAGTACCGTGACCTCGAGTCACTTCAAAATCTCGGTTTAGGATTGTCAATTCAAAATTGAGAAAGCGAATTCGGTACGTTGAAAAGCAAGTCTCTTAGTTTCTCTCTTCACGTATTAAGCTCTTTTACTTTGATTAATATGTCCCTGTGTGGTTCTTATGCAATATGTTATTTTAGTTTCATATTGTCGTTATGCTGTAGTGATTTGCTATGTACATTGACAAGAATAAATATTTTAGTTTTTTATTTTTATTTTTATTTTTGTTGTATATAATATTATTGTTTCGAGAAAAGATGTCACCCTTACTTTGAGATTTTTTCACTTCTGAAACAAGTGAACTATTACTATATAGATAAATTTTTCACCCGAAGTGAAAGATTAATGATAACAAAAACAAAGTTACTCATGAAGTAGCAATGTTGCGATAGCATATTTACCATATTAAATTGCTCCAGTAGTAGCATTGTCGCAAAATATTTGATGAAATCTTATGAATTGTTTTCTTTCTCTGAAAGTGGGCAGAAAATTATTTCAAAGAAAATCGTATATATTAAATCTACATTAATTATATATAATATACAATTCTTCACATGAAGTTGGAGAGTAAATTTGAAAACATGTTAAATTTAGTCATGGTCCATTTCCTGAAGTAAATGTGACGATTATGAAACAATGATAGTGGTGATTCTGACAAATACTATTAACCACTTGAAGTAGGAAAAATAGTGAAAACACGACTATTGATTTGAAGTTAAAAAGTATTACATTGCAAATACTATCGTTGTGGCATAGAAAATCATTGGGTTCACATGTTCTGTATACCCACAATTATCTTATTGATATCTTCGATATATTATTAAAAATAGACGAATTCATTACTCCTGTCGACAATGA